GTCTCTCTCTCTCTATCTCTCTCTCTCTCTCTCTGTGTGTGTGTGTGTGTGTGTGTGTGTGTGTGTGTGTGTGTTTGTGATTTATTTGGAAACTGGGTGGCAGGGCCCTCAAAAGACCCTGAAGAGCAGAAAAGCCTAAAGAGAAAAAGACCAAGAAGAGTCAAAAGAGTAAAACCAACAGCTACAACAGTGCACATGATGTATGTTGGTCACGTGTGTCCTCATCAACCCCCATCACTCCCGTCAGTCCTCTTCCCAAGCAGCCCCACTTCTCTGTGTGTGTCCAGTGAGTTTTTTGGGGTTGTTTAAGGCTCCTGGGCATCTCTCCAGTGACTGCACCACTAAAGAAAATGCCTCTATCTCCACTCCCACCATTGTTAGTGATGCTCAAGGTAGCTCTGAACTCCTAAGCTCCAGTTACCCCCTGCCTCAGACTCCCAACTGCAACTATAAGTATGGTCCACCATGCCCGGTAAATAGAATCTCTTTTAAAGGAAAACAACAGCCGCAGATACACCATTCCCTCTTTAATTCACAAATGTCTTCAATTTTGTTCTTTTAAAAAAAATGCAGACACACTTCTTCCCTGACAAAGGTGCAGTGGCATTGGCACAGTTTGTGTCTTCAGTGTCCGTAGTGGCTGAAAGGGGCCAGGGTTTGCAGTCTTGTGCTGTTATTGATGGGTGTTAGCCATTTTAAAATACTGTGAGCAACCTGTTCCTGGATAATGCTTTGTGATTTTATTCACCAGGAAATAATAAGAGAAAGGCAAGAAAACCTTAGGCTTGTGAGGCTGATGCAAGATAAAGAAGAAATGATCGGAAAACTCAAGGAGGAGATTGATTTGTTAAATAGGGTAAGTATTTTTGCATTTCAATGCCCGGTTTATTTTTTATTTTAATTAATTTATTTATTTTTGGTTGTTCCAGACAGGATTTCTCTGTGTAGCCCCAACTGTCCTGGAACTCTGTAAACCAGGCTGGCCTCTGCCTCCCAGGTGCTGGGACTAAAGGCATGTGCCACCACTGACAGGCCTAATGCCAGGGTTTGTTTTTTTGTTTGTTTGTTGTAGGGTTTTCTGTTAGTTTTGTTTTTGTTTCAGTAATTGAATGAAACTATGTAAGGGTTGAAGAACCTGTCATTGATGTGTATGGTTTGCTCTTTGGTCAATAAGGTAGTCATTAATGGTGAGATCTATCTACCGTTTCATTCTGTAAACTATATTCTCACCATCTCTTCAGATGATACTTAGGAATTTTCCCAGTTCTTGTTTGAGGTCGTGCAAGCTCTGCAGTGTTAAGTTTTGGAGCCCTTCCTTTTTGTGCTCAGCCCTAGAATTTCCTTCCTGCCCCAGCCAGAGCATCTACTAAGGTGATTGTGGTGAGAAGAGATCCCATTGTTGTGCTTTTTAAGAGGATTTTAGAGAATGGGAGAAAGAAGAGTTTGCTTCAGAGAGAAAAGGCCCCGTCCTCTAATCCAGTCTCAACTCCTACACAAAATAATTAAATGGTAAAGTGCTTGCCTCAGCTGGGCAGTGCCGTGGGTTTGATCCCATATGCCACACCAATAGAGGGGGCTTCAGGGCCAGTCTCTTCTGATGCAACTCAAAGGCAGTGACTTCGAGTTGTACATGAGCACAGGGCACCCCAGTTAACTTGCTCAAGGTTGCATGTCGGCGGTGGCAGCTGAGCCAGTATTTGACTTGGATCTTATGTAGTCTTTCATCTTGATCCTACTATAAGCATGTCTTTATTTGTGCTGGAATTCAGTTTAAGAGGCTTGGTAAATATTTGTGATGCCCATGGTGTGTTTGTGCTGTCTCAGACACCAAGAGCATTAAAAATAATCAGAAAATCTCCTCCCTAACTAAGTTTATAATTTAGTCATGATTCATGAATGTGTTTTTAACAGTTTTAATTTTAGGAACCTTTTCCAAGTGTACTGTTTGGTAATGATTCACGAATGTCTTTATCATTTAATTTTAAATGTAGGCGGATCTCAGTTGTGATTTTTGAAACCTTATTTTTATAATAGTTTGAACAGACTTGCTTCTTAGCATTATTCGGTCTGTGAATAAGTGCAAATTCTAACTATGCTAACGTGTATGTCAGCTGCCTGATAGTCCGACAGCAAAGTGTAAGTTCACGACAATGCCGTAGCTGTGTGGCATTTGACATGCAGTTGGACTTTGTCAAGTTTTAATACCATAAACTGCAAAGATAAGTCTTTACATGTCTGTGCTTCCTTCAAGTGATATTTCTCATATCTAAAACCATGTACTGAGCATATGACCATGTATTCATGGCTAGAATTCTAACACAGGGAACACCTCTCTCTCTCTCTCTCTCTCTCTCTGTGTGTGTGTGTGTGTGTGTCTAGATTCACCATTTTAAATCCTTGTTGAGGGCACATTTAGTGTAATTTTTAGAACTTAATACTTCAACATTAATTGAGTAAATGAGTTGTCTTTGTGTTTTATTTTTATTTCATCTCTCCTTTAGAATATTTTCCAGTATTTTTAAAGTGTTGTTTCCTCCCACTCCCCAGGACCTAGATGACATAGAAGATGAAAACGAACAACTAAAGCAGGAAAATAAAACTCTTTTGAAAGTTGTTGGACAGCTGACAAGGTAGAAGGCTCGAAGCTCGGTGTGGAGAATTAATTCTGTTTTTAAACTACTGATTGAATGTCATGGCTAAGGCAAAGATGATGTTCCTGTAATGCAATAAATACATTGAGATAACTGTATATTTATTTCCAGACACCAGATGGATATTGGTTTTCAAAGTTAACTCTTTTTCCTTATTAGTTTTAAAAAGTATCAACCTTGTATTTCACAAATTATAGTAACACTTTTAGTTATCAAAATGATACAGGTAATGCCTCTTGGTTTTGTGTAATATTCCAGTGATATATGGTTCAAAGTAACAGCCATTGCATATGTTTTACTTATGTCAGTACATATTCTCCCTAAAGGAATATGCATAGTCTTTGTTTACATGAATTCAAATACTTGGGGGAATTGCCTACAAATGCCTTATTACTAACGTGTGCGGCCTTCTGTGTGTTAATACTTACTCATAAAGACCTGTTCTTTCCACCTGCTCTAATGATTTCGAGTAGTAGTAGATACACTATTTTGAATAGCAGTAATCTTTGAAAGGAAATCTATTTTACAGAGCTACTTATGTTCTAGCTGGCTAAATATAAACTTAAGAAAATACTTGAACTGTGTTATAAGTGAGTGAAAATTTACTATTCTGTGTTTGAATATTGAAAAAATTCATTTACTTCCGGAAAAACAGTTAATGTATAGTTTCTTTTCTTTTTTAAGTGAGTTTTTATCATGAAAAAGCAATGTGATCTAGGAAACTGACACACTGGTATCTTTCTAATGAAATGACATAGCAGATTTTCTTAAATAATTTACAAAGAGCAGAAACTGGTCTTGAACAGTGTTCCCCTCCCTGCCGCCCCCAGTGCCCCACCCTGAGCTGGTAAGTAGGGAGAGCTCAGGCTTGCAAAGTCTACAAATATCTCCTCTATTCCTGTGGGGCCCTGTAATGTATAGTTTCTTATGTAGGTACTATCTATTTTTTTTTTATTGCTCTATGGTTTATTAGTAAATATGGGATATTTAAAAAGTTGTGTATTCTTCTGGCCTCAAGTCGTGTACAGTTTCAGTGTTGAAGAAGAAAATTGATGCTTTTAATACCATGTGCTTCAAAATCAGAACCAAAATATTTTTCCACACTTAAAGTACGTATACGTTTGTTAACCTGTTTAAGTACGGGTGATGCAGAATCACTCAGCTGATTCCTGAGTCAGAGAATCCCTGGGATGTGTTTTTTCTTCACGAGAGAATAGTCCCATGTCACAAGGGATACGGCTTCCTAACACTGAAAATTTTGAGAATTCTAAATCGACCTTATTTGAAGATTTATAAAATAAAGTTGTCTTCTTTTAAATGTCCTTAGTATTTATGTCTTGTGTTGTGTTTCTGTATTACAACCCCTTGCCCTCCCTTAACACATGGGCACGTCATAGTTGAATCTTTCCCTTTTTCTTCCCTCTTTTTAATGGTTCTGGGGACTGAACCTGGCAGGCACTCTGGATAGGTGAATTTCAGGTAGACAGACTGTTTGTTCATCAGCATTCAGGACTTGAACATGGTAAAGCCCCACTGGGTCCCCTGCTGGCTTTTTTTTTTTCCACTTACCAAATCCATTCATTTATCCACTGCTGGAAAAACAGGGAAGTAAGACAATTGGGGGAAGCATGGAGGAGTAGTGATCCATTTAAGATACTACCTTCTAGAAATCTCTGCATTGGCCACGAGTGTCTCTCCAACCCCTCACTTCAGAAATTTGGGATTGACCATCAGAACCGCTTGAGGAACAGAAACACAAGAGACATAGTTTAGACCTTGGTCTGGTGATCCCTTGCCAAAGGCACTCCCTCTGTTCATGCTCTCTGATGATAGTGAGGTTGTCACTCTGTGCTTGAAGACTTGAACCAGGGCCTGCAATGACCCACCTGGTAAAAGCTCCTCTTCCCAACATTGGCAAGCCCAGGCTTCAAATTCCAGAATCCACATGGTGGCAGAAGACCCAGCTTCCATGAGTTGTCCTCTGACTTCTGTATGTTTAATGTTTCGTGTAAACATACACACAGAGACACAGTCACACTAAATGTAAAAATAATAAAATGAACCATTATCCAAAAAAACCTGAGCCCATATTCGTCTTTTGTTTTGAATTTTTAAGGTCTCCCTTTATAGCCTAGCCTGGCTTGAGATTCATTCTGTCATCCAGTCCAGCCTCAAAGTCATAATCCTCCTGCCTAGGGTTTTTTTTTTTTTTTAACATTTTTATTTATTTATTTTTATTTTGCTTAACTATATTTCCTAACATGTTAGAGTTGCATCTTCACCCTGATCCCGGGTCAAATAATGAGATACAAGTATTTTGCATTAAAATTTTCATGTGTTTGAGGCAGACATTTAAGTGGACATCTGCTAACTCTTCCACTTAGCCAAGTATAGTCCATGTAGTGCGTACCAGTAGACTTATGCCTTAGCTAGCATAAGTCTGTCCCATCTGAATGGCTGGTTCCAGAGTAGGCTTTTGTCACTATCCAGCCCTTGTCTGGTAGATCTAGTTGGTAAGGACTGTTTCATTTGCTGAAACATTTCTAAGCCATAAAGGGAAATAACTGATGCACACTGGGAAGTATATTACTGTGTTTTAATATAATTACAAATTTGGAAAAGATCATTAAGAAATGTCATAAGTAAAAAGGATTCAATGTATGGCACATACAAAAAGTGTTGGTTATATTCTAATTTGTATTTTTGTAGAGTATGTCATCATCTACATAACCTTCAGTTCATTTGTTGTCAGTCTCTCTGGTAATTAAAATGTTAAATCACTTGATGGGCATTGATTGATTGCCCCATTTTATTTTGGTTTTCCTTCTGCATGCCAAATTGAATGTATGGTTTGCTTTGTTTTGTTTTGTTTTACTGTTGTGTTGTTTTGTTTTGTCAACTTTACTCCTTGGAAATTTTGCCTTCACTATGTGTTGATTTTATTCTCATGTAAGTTTTGTTTCTCTAAATATAAAATGCAAACGACAATTGCTACCAGCAAAAGTCACAAGACAGCTTAAGATTTACTGTGTGGTTAAGATCAGGAGTTCTGAACCCAAATATTGGTGAAAATTATCTGGTTTAAGTAAAAAGTGTTGTGTGAACAGTTTTGGACATTCTCATTGTGTGGATTTGATTATGACAGAGTCAGCTCAGTACAGATTCACTTTTATAATAAGCTTTTCATGTAAAAAAATGAATCCTCAATAAAAAGTACATTTTCATCTCCTTTTCACCAATGGCTACTTTTTTCTATTCTCTTCTATACCATTAGTGGAATCCCCTCCGCCCCCACCTGAATTTATTCAGAAGTTACGGGATACCCTCATCAGCTTATACTGAAACAATGTGGTGTTTCAAAAATTTTTGTCTTATTTAAGAAAAAAACAATACTTTAAGAAATAACAGTGTTAGCTGGGTGTTGGTGGTGCACGCCTTTAATTCCAGTACTCGGGAGGCAGAGGCAGGTGGATGGATCTCTGTGAGTTCAAGGCCAGCCTGGTCTACAGAGCAAGTGCCAGGATAGGCTCCAAAGCTACATAGAGAAACCCTGTCTCGGAAAAACCAAAAAAAAAAAAAAAAAATAGAAAGAAATAAAAATGTTAAGGTCAGGATTCATTGATGGTAGGGTTTTTTATTTGTTTGTTTGTTTGTTTAAGTGTGAAAAGGTACATGTAGGTTCAGCTGTGGCTATGCCAGACTTTGTTGACTCCCCAAGGAAGGCCTTCCCCCCTCTGAGGAGTGAATTGGAGGGTGGGAAGAGGTGGGAGGAGAAGGGGAGGGAGGGAGAACTGGAGTTGGTATGTAAAATGAAAAATATTTTTAAATTAAAAAAAAAAACTACAGAAATGATTTTTTAACTCAGAGTTGGAACTGTAACTAACCCGATCTGATGATGTTTGAAGAATTCCAGATCTCAAATAGCCTGAAACAGATAATAATAGGGTTTGGGAATGTAAAAATCTAGTCTTTGTTTTTCCAGCCGATAGTTTATGTAACCTTTTAGCTAAAGTGTCATTCTTTGTACACCTGCACAAGCTAACCAGCTCTCTCCCCAGCAAACTCTCCACTAATCTCAGTAATACCGCACATTTCTAGCAAGTGGGCGGGCATCCTTGTCAGGGTGTTTTTGCTAATGTCTCCTGTAAGACTGTATTCATCTAGTTAGCACACCCAGTGAAAAAGTTTGTTCAAGATCTCAATCTTTTTGTTTTGTTTTTGAGAATATGATAATCTCAACATTTCTGCATTCCCCTTCCTCCCTCCAAACTCTCCCATATACCCCGCCCCACCCCGCCCCGCCCCACCGTCCTTCAGATCCAAAAACCTCATAATCTTAATGAAAACGGAAACCTTTATCTTAGATTTCATCAGAACTCTGGGCTTTTTTGTTGCAGATTCACTGTGTGTGTGCAAGCGTGCATGCCTACATTAGTCAGCTGCTGAGGTGAGAGTGCCTCCGTTCCCTCACCCCGTGTGTCCACTTTCTCTGCATTTTCACATTTTATCTTTAGTCACCTCTCAGAAAAATTATATGATGTTAAACCTTCATGTTAAGCACATGGGACCAATTATACTGGCCCCTGCGGCCTTTTATTTTATTTTTTATGTCTGTTGGGCCAAAAAGAAAGCTAGAAAGCAAAACCTTTTTCTTTCTTTTTTTTTCTTAATAAATTTAACTTATGTGCATTGGTATGAAGGTGTCAGATCCCCTGGAAATGGAGCTGCCATGTGGGTGATGGGAATTGAACCCAGGTCCTCAGGAAGAGCAGCCATCTCTCCAGCCCCACAAAAGTTTTTCTTAATCTTGGGCTAAATACACGCAGAAAATTTCCATGACTGAGTCATATAATGTGTGTGTTCCTCATGCATGCTAGGTGCGAGTAGTATTGCCCTGCTAACGGGCTACGCTGCAGTTGCTAATGTCTTTAAACAAGGGAAAGGCACTGTGTTAGCAATGCAGCCTGGAAAAAAACAAAACAAAACAAATAAAACTGTGAGTCAGTAAAAATGATGAGCTTTCATCAGATAGCCGTGGAAAAAAAAGTTATTGTAATGTTTGCTTTTTTTTAGTTTTGTTATTATTTATTTAATGTTCCTGGTGTAACGGGATCAGATACCTTGGATGGCTGCTTTTTTTTCCCCCCCTATGTTAAAATAAGGGGTTGTTTGCTATATCACCTCAATCAATAATTGCTATTCTTACTTAGACACTCTGCGGGGCCTAAATAACACAGTTTCATTACAGGCTTCTAGGCAGAGAAATGTTTGTCTTCCTTTAAAATCTGAACTATTTCCCGTGGTTAACCTAAAGTAGAAGCTGTCTTTGGGCATTTTAACTTTATAGAAAGAAATTGTTAAGAAAAATGAATAAGAAGGTATCAGGTTTCTTTTGTTTTAGTAGTGGAAAGGTGTAAGCAAAGCTGTCGGTCAGAGGTAAGGAATCCATAGGGAAGAGTCAGAAAATCGCTTTTGATAGGAAACACTCATTATCTAGCATTAGCTAGCTTCGACTTCTGTGGGACATTGAGCGTTCCTGAGCAGATGTTCAAGGACCTCGAATAGCAGTAGTAATGCAAAGTATGACGGTGCCACTCAAGTTCAAGTGCACCTACTGATGTCAGTGAGGGCAGCAGACATCTTCTTGGAATGAGTGAGACCTTAAAAAGGGCGATGCTCACGGGCGGCCTCAGAATGCCTCTGCTTGTAACCCTTTCAAGATCAGTATGCTTTAGCTTCTGATGGCTCCATCGATGTATGCGTGTGTGTGTATGTGTGTGTGTGTGTGTGTGTGTGTGTGTGTGTGTGTGTGTGTCCCAGTGTGCTCCATACTTCAGAGCTAAATTTGCAGATCTCACAAAGCTCCTGCATTTGACTCCAGGACTTTATGATCTGTAAACACCTGGACCTCCAGGCTGTAATCACTGCCCTGCAAAGTATCTGCCCTGTGGTCTCAGTGTTCTCCCATGTTTCTCATCTGTCAGGCATTAATCTTGCTTAGGAACCTAACACCTGAATCAGAAACTCAGGGTAACGTCAAGGCTTCAGGTAATCCTGGCAGGTGAAATCTGTAAGTCCCTGAAATGCATTGCTGTTTCAATCAAAGCAAAGATTTCTCTTTATTTTTGTTGGCTTTGTTTTAGACATACTGTCTAAAGAGAATAATGTGAATTTTGGTCTGTGTTGCTTTCGTTGATAAAGACAGCATCAGGAAACCCTCACACAGACTTTAACAGCTTGTCTCGCCCTCTTAGTATAGTGTTATCGTTGGAAATCAGGTGCCTTCACAAGTCCGAGAAATCAGGCAACAGAGTCTTGGTTGTTCTCTTTCTTAACGGTTATTTCCTGAAGGGTGTTTTAGTAACAAGCGTGCATTTTTATCAAATTGTAAAATTTGATTGGAACAAATAAACAGGTACTTCATGAGTGCCAGTTTTTGTTTTGCACATACAATGAAGACACTGTAGGGATTCTCAAGAGTCTATAAAGTTTCAAATTTTCTTCTTCAGAAAGATCAAGTGGCATTTTCCTTACTTCCTTCCATCCTTCCTTCCTTCCTTCCTTCCTCTCTCTCTCTCTCTCTCTCTCTCTCTCTCTCTTTCTTTCTTTCTTTCTGTATCTCTGTCTCTCAGATAAACTTAATTTGGAGTCATTACTTTTGTTTTTTAAAAGATTTTTTATTGATTATGTATACAGTGTTCTGCCTGCATGCCAGAAGAGGGCAACAGATCTCATTATAGATGCTTGTGAGCCACCATGTGTTTCCTGGGAATTGAACTCAGGACCTCTGGAAGAGCAGTCAGTGCTCTTAACCTCTGAGCCGTCTTCAGCCCAATCATTAGTTTCATTAACATAATGTTTTTAAATAAGCTTTTAAATTAAAAAAATGTTTTTAGAGAGTATTACTGTATTTAATCACTGACTGGTCTGGAACTCATTAGGTGGATCAGGGTGTCACTGAATTCACAGAGATCCACCTGCCTCTGCCCCACAAATGCTGGGATTAAAGATTTCATGCTACCATCATCAACAAATAAGATTTGGGGAAGGAAAGTAAAGCTTTAGTACACGTTTAGCTTTACAGAATTAAAGTTGCACAGAGAATTCTTAAATCCTGTGCCCTTCCCATATTGCAGCTTACATTTCCTATTGTACATTGTTCATAATGAATCAATATTGATAAGTTAGTCAGTTCCTATTTCTACATTGTTTCTCTCTCTCTCTCTCTCTCTCTCTCTCTCTGTGTGTGTGTGTGTGTGAGAGCGAGAGAGAGAGAGAGAGCGAGAGAGAGAGAGAGAGCGAGAGAGAGAGAGAGAGCGAGAGAGAGAGAGAGAGAGAGAGAGAGAGAGAGAGAGCGCACATGCATGTTCCAAGACCTACTCCAGACTGCAAATTACACAGTTCTGTTTTTCCATTTTAGGCTCCTCCTGGCTGTGACCATTTCTCAGATGTCCCATCATTTTGACAATCTTAACTGTTTCCAGTATTGGTCACATCTTCCTTTAAAAGGCAGCACACAGGCCCAAGTACAGGAAATCTCAGTCTTACTGATCTTATTTTACCATCTACCCACTTTCCCTGGGGGTTTTCAAAGTCTGTTTTCTTATAAACATTTCCTTATGGCTTTCCTGTAGTGAGAACTAAAAAATAAATAACAGTAAAATAATAACCACAGTATTGTCATAGCAATAAAATGAGTGTGACTTCTTTAATACATATTTTGGTGGGGTTCTCAAAGAAACGGTCATGTTGGATTCATTAGAAGAAAACTTGATGAAAATAAGGGAGCTAGAGAAGGTTGAGAAAGCTGTCAGGGGTGCAAGGCTAATTGGTGAAGTGGGGGGAGAGGGAGGGTAGAAGGGTTCTGTAAAGACCTTAAAGTGGATGAAGAATCTGCACATCTGTCCTTCAGTTACTTAAACACCTCGAAGCCGACATCTGACAACTTTACTGTGGTGGGCTGTCCCGAAATTAAATATTGTGTGTTCAGATTTCCTCCAGATACTTAAGGATCTGCTTTGAGAGTCATCCATTGCATTTGGTATAGCTAAGTCTCTTTTAACCTAGTAATTAGTCCCACATTCTATTTAATGCCTCTTTTTAAATGAAAGACCCTGGCTTTGTAGAATTCTCTATAGTAAGGATTTGGCTGTTTGAATTTTTATGGTACTATCTCACATACCCCTTTGTCACCCACTGTTTTCTCTAAGTCGATGGATGTACTGCTTATTAGAC